TACTAAGAATTGAAAAATAGTAAAGAATTTTTGAACTGTTATGGATTTTGCCTGTTTAAATCTAGTAAAATCACAAAGAACAAAAGAAAGTATTCATTTACACATTGACCTCAAGAAGAAGAAGAAGAAGAAGAAAAAAAGCTAATACTGTAAATATAGTCCACATCCAAAATGTGTGTTTTAGATGATTGAAGATAAAACCTGTGGACAGTTAGAAAAATATTGTACATCTAATTTTAGTTATGTGTAATATTTTATATCGTTCTTATTGAGTTCTTGTTGTGCTGTTATTATGTTTTAAATCTTGAATATGGGTGCAGGTGTGTTCAAGATTATGTGAGTAGCAAATCTTTTTGTACAGTTTGGTACAATGACAACAAAGCTTTGTGATTCTTTTCAAACCCAGTTTTGTTGTTTTTATGATGTATGGCTTTATAACTGTGTCATACTGCACAGAAGACATCAATAGATAGGTTTATTGTAAATACCAGCACAATTTTGCAACCTCTTTCTTCTCCCAGCACAATTTGCACATCATTTTGCACTTTGTTTGTCACACTAGCTTATTGTTTACTCACGTCGGCTCCATGTCCCTCCCGCAGGTTGTACGTGAGGTCGTGTTGGATCTCGCTGATGAACTTCTGGGCGTACTCGGGGTAAAGGCGCAGCACCTCGCGGAGCCCCTTCAGGCTGATGTACTGCAGGTCGCAGTAGGTCAGAGCTTTGACGTTGGCGTTGGTCTTGATCACCTGCTCCTTCGTCAGGGAGTCGGAGCCAATCAGGTCTCCTTTACCTGCACAGGAGAACCAGCACAGGTGAGACACACAAGGAAGGTTTGCTATGCCAGTTAAACATCATCCAAGACCCTCTCTATTTTTTCCATTTACTGCCGTGGTTTTACATTTTAGCCTCAAACAAACAAAACAAATGAACAGACTGTGTGTTATTTGAGTCAATGATTTGTTGATCAACAAACATGTTGCATCAAATCAAATCGAGGCCACTTGACAGTAAATTCCCGAGATGCTCCTCGTTGCCAGTCAGCTGCTGCCACAGACAAAAAAATGGCCTCATATGATGCAGAACTGGAACCAGAAAAGGCTAAACGCTCTCGGAAGGAAACTGATGAGCAGTATCAACATTTGCAGTAGTTGAAATACTGAAAGAGGGCGAAGTGGCAGTCAGAATGCAATTAGCGAAAGAGGCTGACAAGGTTGAAGCGAAAGCGCTAAAAGATGCTGGAAAGACTCAGCGTCAGTCGGAGCTCTGACAGGATCTGAAGCTGTCAGAATGTGGGGAATTGAGCTGGAAGCTTCACTGAAAGCAGAAAAAGTCTCAGCAGAAAGTAAGTTGAAGGCAAATGACATGACAGAAGCCTGAAAAAGTTACAGATTGTTGTAAGCCGAATTACAGAAATAATGGCTCCAAACTTGCCACTCAATGTGACAAAAGTTCCCAGAAACAACTAAGGCAGCTTTACAACGTCTGAAATTAAGTTTGACAGGAGTCATAATTTCTACCATATAACTGATTTAAAGTATCTGTTGTTTGGATGTTTTATTTTCTTTCACCCCAAAACCAGCTGACGAGTTTGAAAGATATGTTGTTGTTAAAAACAAAATTACAAAATTACACCATTTATCACAGCTAGACACACTAAAAGCAGAAAAAATTGCCAGTTTTCAGTTTTTCGACAGTCCATGAACCAATCATGTGGTTTCTGGTGGGAAAATTACACAAAATCTCAATAGAAGCTCTAATATTTTATCAAAATCACTTTATTCTACTTTTAAAATTCAT